GTTGATGCTTCAACACATGTATACAGTCCACAGACCAAAGTCAGTCTACTTTTTAGCTTTATAGACATCAAAGCATTTTGCTCATAATCTAACGATATAGTAGGTAGACAGTAGTGTTTGCTAAATTAGAATCTAAGTCTGAGTCCTAGCCACATACTGGTTTTCAAAAAGTAATAAAGAAAAATATGACTTTCTTTCCCTCTGCCCATCCAACTGGGCCCTTCCTGTTATAGCAGCCACAGGCACCTATGACTTTAAATGAGTTTAACCTTAATAGAGACCTGGATTCTACTCTGATTCTCCCTCAGAATGACAAATGTCGTTAAATAAAATTTTCCTTTCCTCTGGGCTTCAGTTTTTGCACTTTATGATGATGACGACTTTGCAGGTGATGATTATTTATTCCTGTGTCCCAAGTGCGTGTGTGTGTGGTTTCCAGACCTGCCTGTGAGGCCAGAAGAACCTGAGTAGAAAAGAAGACCAGCTTCGAAGACGAGGAAGAAAGACGCTGCCAGGCCAGTGAAGGCACAAATGTTGCCAACTCAAAAGACATGTGGGTCAAGATAAAGGCCAATGTGGGTCTTCGGTGCCCATCTGTCCAAGGGTTCCTTGTCAGAAGTTCCTTTAACCATCTTTTCTTCTGGTCCTCCTTAGTTGCTATGATAAAGCTTCTCCCTGACCTTGTGTCTGTACCCCCCATCCAGTTAGAGGTCATATTAATTTAGTTTGAAGACTTTTTAAATATTTTATTTATTATTTTCATTTTTTATGTGTATGAGTGTATTGTCTGCATGTATGTGAATGCACCTGTGTCATTCAGTGCTGCAAAGGTCAGAAGAGGGCTTCAGATTCCCCTGGAATTGGAGTTAAGGACAGTTCATAGCCACCATGTGAGGACCCGGGTCTTCATAGCCACCCAGAGGACCCAGGTCCTCTGCAAGAGCAGTCAGTGCTCTTAACCGCTGAGCCATCTCTCCAGCCCCCTAGTTTAAAAACTTTTAAAGTGGCTTTACATGTACTATCTTGTCATCTGGGACCCACCTCTGATTATCTCAGATGCCACTCACTAACAGGGCCTATACTCGAAGTAACACTGATATTTCAGGAAGCAAGGACACTAACTACCATTTATAGGGGGCCCTATAGGTACCAGGCCCCAAGCTAGATGCTTTGTATATGTTACATAATTTAATGCAATTATTCCCATCTTGTAGATGAGGCAACCGAGGCTCTAAAAGATAGGATAATGGGTTTATACAGCATCACAAGAGTGAGAAGAATATCTATGTACCAGTTCTGCCTTTAAACTGCAGCCCTCACAGTTTGGGAAGGGGTAAGAAACAGGAAACAGTAAGATCAGGAAGGACGGGCTGGCTTCTGCAGGTCATGGTCATGAAAACTCAATCTTTTCCATTTACGCTACTTCCTTGGTCCTTGATGTTCCCATCAGTAGCACAGATCAGTACCCCTGAGAGACACAAACCTTTGATCAGTTCTCTCTGTCTTCCCAGATTGCTCTATTGAAACCCTGAGGGAGAAAGCTCCAAGATGAGAGCTAAGGTCTCAGAGACGTGGATTAAAACATACACAAATATAGACAAACAAAGGCTGATGAACAGAGGTGCTTAAAGGCCACTCCAACTTCTCCTAAGGGGAGGCTAAAGGAGCCTTGAAGGCATAAAGACAATGGCAATGATCTCAGGTTAGAAATTACTCAAGAGGTGGGCAAATCAAAGGATGGATACAGGTCCCCGGGAAGCATCTCTCTCACCCCACATGGGTCTAGAGCACAGATAATGTGGATTCTTCTTCTTATAATGTGTTTTTTTCAAATCTATTACACATCTATTAAGCCCAAATATTTTAACATGATTTTCTTTTCTTCTTTTTTTAATTGAATGTTTGTGATTTTCATATAATTTGATGTTATTTAGAACCCCTCCCCTATCTGCACCTCTCCCGATTGCCCCCTTCCCAATTTAATGTAGTCTATTATGTATATAATAAGGCTTATAGAGTCTGATTTGCATCCTCAAATTTGACACAGACTTAATCTGAGACTCACGCCTTATAAAATAAAGCTTTTTCTCATGAAGACCACCATTCTTAACTTTTTCTGTAAAGTCACTGGGGGAGTAAGATGTAGGACACTCATGCTTTTGGGTTTCAGCATAGCCTACACAAGAAAATATTGTCCATTCTGTGGAAGAAAATGGCTTCCTCACCAAATGAATTGCATTGATGTGGCTAACATGCCCTTGTAAGAATGGAGTAGAAATGATTCTTAACGGTGGGCTGGAGGAGTGGGGCAGAAAATGAGGTCAGGTATTAGAAAATTTATTAGTATGAAAGCTTGTCCTCATGGTGCAGGATTGATTGTCCTGAAAGAATGCCTTATGTGTTTCTAAAATGGAAGGGAAGACGCAACAGAACTGCAGAATGAAGACCACACCATGGATGAGTTGGGGGTAGGGGTTACCAGCATCATTAAAAACTTTGGTCATGGTCCTTTTCTACATCCCAGTGGTCATGG